TCTCAGATTGCACTCTCAAGAGTTGGCATCTGGGGAAAAAAAAAAAGAGTTGGCATCTGGCTTCTGTGGTGCCTCAGTGGTAAAGAATCCACCTGCCAACGCGTGCGATACAGTTCGATCCCTGATCCAAGAAGATCCCACATGATGCAGAGCAACTAAGCTGGTGCGCCACAACTACTGAACTGGTGCTCTAGAGCCAGTGAGCTACCACTACTGAGCCCTTGCATCCTACAGCCTGTGGTCCGCAATAAGAGAAACTGTCACAATGAGAAGCCCGTGCACCACAACTAGGGAAAAGCCTGCGCAGCGGTGAAGAAGGCCCAGCACAGCCAAAATAAGTAAATACAACTATTTTTAAACAAGAGTTGGAATCACAGTAGAGGAAGCTCAGAGGCAGCCAAGGTTGCCTCCTCCTCCTTCCTTGCAGATCCTGCACCCTAGGAGATGTAGGCTTCTGACTTAATCTTCTTCTGCGACCCTGACAGCCATCTGGAGAACTTTCTCTCCCCAGGGCACAATGTCAACCCTTAAAGAAAAACTGATTGCCATCAGTTGCAGAAGAGGCAACAGTCCCAAACAATAAATTACTGTAGTGGGTGTTGGACAAGTCAGTATCGCATGTGGCATCAGCATTCTGGGAAAGTCTCTGACTAATAAACTTGCTCTTGTGGGTGTTTTGGAAGACAAACTCAAAGAAGAAATGCTGCACCTGCAGCACGCAAGCTTATTCCTTCAGACACCAAAGACTATGGCAGACAAAGATTACTCTGTCACTGCAAATTTCAAGATTGCAGCATAACTACAGGAGTTTGCCAGCAAGAGGGACAGAGTCGTCTGAATCTGCTGCAAAGGAACATCAGTGTCTCTAAGTTCATCATTCCTCAGGTCATCAAGTACAGTCCTGACTGGTGGTTCCAACCCAGTGGATATTCTCATGTATGTTACCTGGAAACCAAGTGGATTACCCAAGCACCCTGTGGTTGGCAGTGGATGTAATGTGGATTCTGCTAGACTTCGCTATTTTATGGCTGAAAAACTTGGCATTCATCCCAGCAGCTATGGATGAATTCTAGAGAACATGATGACTCAAGTGTGGCTGTGTGGAGTGATATGAATGTGGCAGGCATTTCTCTCCAGGAACTGAATCCAGAAATGGGAACAGATAATCACAGCAAAAATTAGAAGGAAGTGCATAAGACGGTGGTTAAAAGTGCCTATAAGTCATCAAGCTCAAAGGTGACACCATCTGGGCTATTCGATTAAGTGTGGCTGATCTTATTGAATCCATGATGAAAAGTCTGTCCAGGATTCACCCAGTGTCAACAACAGTGAAGGGGATGTATGGCTTTGATAATGAAGTGTTCCTGAGTCTTCCATGTATCCTGAATGCTCGGGAGTTAACCAGTCTTATCAAACAGAAGCTGAAGGATGAAGAGGTTGCCTAACTCAGGAAAAGTGCAGATACCCTCTGGGGCATCCAGAAGGACCTAAAGGACCTGTGGCTTCTGGCTGCTAGGCTACAGAAACTTAAAATTACAGTGTGACTAACCATGAGCCTTTAGTTTTCATCCATGTACATGGAGCACAGTTTGCTTTTATCTTCCTAAGTATGTGAATCTGGACTCCCAGAATCAAAGCCCATGCTTGCAAGATGAGTTCTTGAACAAATAAAAGAAACCAGTGTAGTGTGGGGGAAAAAAAGAGTTGGCATCTGACGCTAAAGTCAATTTAAAATTAACACAGTATTCTGGAATACTAACACTTCAGGAAGCTGATCTATACCACAAAATGTAGGAATTCAGAGGAGAGGTCAAGAGCCAGGGAGTTGTGATGTTCACAGTGAGATGACCCATGAATAGTCTCATCTATGACTAAAGAAAAGAGAACCAAATCCCATACTAACTACAGAACCAGAGTATCTACTCTGTATGCACAAGGGTAATTTTATTTCTCAAATTCTGCCATAACTACCATGTGTCTTGACCATATGTATCAGTTAAAAGCCAAAAATAGGACATGGATAAAAACAGAAATGACCTCTTAACTGTCACCTACTTCTTCAAATAAAAACAATTTAGCATGCCTGCAGATATTCATGAATGTGGAAAGAATTTCCATTTATAAGAGAAACCTATCCTTTGCTGCTCTACAGGATTGAGACTTCAAAGGGCCTGCTTCTAACACCTATAAGGTAATACTTCTGAGGATGGACTGAAGGGCAGCTACTAAAACTTGAACAAATATTTAGTAAAAATGTTTTAAGAGATAATTTCTATGTTCTACTATTGCTCTGGTATAATGTTATATATATACTCTGACCAATACTTGTCATCGAATTAATACATGGATACATAACATTCCCATTCATGACTGTATAGACTGAATATTTGTGTCCCCTAAAATTTTTGTGCTGAACAACTGCATGCCCTCAGTGTGATGGTATTTGGAAATGGGGACTTTGGGACGTAACTAGGATTAGAGGAGGTTATGAGGGTGGGGCCCTCATGAAGGGATTGGTGCCCTTATTAGAAGAGATACCAGAGAGATTGTTGGTTTGTTCTCACTCTTGCTTTCTCATCCTTCCTCTCTCTCTCTCTCCCTCCCTCCCTGCCCCTCTGTCAAGTGAGGACAAAAAGAGAAGGTGATCACCTGAAAGCCAGGGAGAGGGCTCTCATTAGACAGCAGCTATACTGAAACTCTAATTTTGGACTTACAGTCTCCAGTCTATGAGAAAATAAACTCCTGCTATTTAAGCTACCTAAGTTTATGGGTTTTGTTATGGGAGTCTAAACTAATACAATGAAAAAACTATAATGCAAATATTAAAATAATAAAAAAACTCTAGCATTTGTTTTATTTTTTGATTTTATTTCTTGAATGGTTTTAGAGTTGTAGAAAATTTAAGCAGATTAGCCCAGAAAGTTCCCATATCACCTATCCCTTCATACCTCCCCTACCACACATGATTTCCTCTATCATTAGATGCTTGATTAAGTACAAGAAGATGCTCACACCATAGAAGAAGCATACCAGAAACAGAGGCAAACTAGGCAATGAAGCCAGAGCCACCTCTTTCCCAGTTCAGATTAACAAAGCGGTACCCTTGGTTCCAAATAGGAAAAGGAGTACGTCAAGGCTGTATATTGCCACCCTGCTTATTTAACTTATATGCAGAGTACATCATGAGAATCGCTGGGCTGGAAGAAGCACAAGCTGGAATCAAGATTGCTGGGAGAGATATCAATAACCTCAGATACGCAGATGACACCACCTTTATGGCAGAGAGTGAAGAGGAACTAAAAAGCCTCTTGATGAAACTGAAAGAGGAGAGTGAAGAAGTTGGCTTAAAGCTTAACATTCAGAAAACTAAGATCATGGCATCTGGTCCCATCACTTAATGGGAAATAGATGGGGAAACAGTGGAAACAGTGTCAGACTTCATTTTTTTTGGGCTCCAAAATCACTGCAGATGGTGATTGCAGCCATGAAATTAAAAGACACTCCTTGGAAAGAAAGTTATGATCAACCTAGATAGCATATTAAAAAGCAGAGAGATTACTTTGCCAGCAAAGGTCCGTCTGGTCAAGGCTATGGTTTTTCCAGTGGTCATGTATGGATGTGAGAGTTGGACTGTGAAGAAAGATGAGCACCGAAAAATTTTGAACTATGGTGTTGGAGAAGACTCTTTAAGAGTCCCTTGGACTGCAAGGAGATCCAACCAGTCCATCCTAAAGGAGATCAGTCCTGGCTGTTCATTGGAAGGACTGATGCTGAAGCTGAAACTCCAATACTTTGGCCACCTCATGCGAAGAGTTGACTCATTGGAAAAGACCCTGATGCTGGGAGGGATTGGGGGCAGGAGGAGAAGGGGACAACAGAGGATGAGATGGCTGGATGGCATCACCGACTCGATGGGCATGAGTTTGAGTAAACTCCAGGAGTTGGTGATGTACAGGGGGGCCTGGCGTGCTGCGATTCATGGGGTCGCAAAGAGTCGGACACGACTGAGCAACTGAACTGAACTGAAGCCTTAGGAATGGGCTTCCCAGGAAGCTCAGTGGTAAAAAATCTGCCTGCCAATACAGGAGATGTGGGTTCAATCCCTGGGTGGGGAAGATTTCCTGGAGGAGGAAATGGTTATCTGCTTCAGTATTCTTGACTGAAAATTTCCATGGACAGAGAGGCCTGGCTTGCTATATACAGTCCATAGGTTCTCAATGATGGAATACACACACACCCTTAGGGAATGCCCATAGAGAAACTGTTTTATCTTGTTTCTACTCATTTTTTTTTTTTAGAAGAGTGAACATGCTAGAATACTCGTGAATTAAAAGCAGGTAATTTGTAGCTCTCTGATCTACTTCCTCCATTTAAGGCTTCCAGCAATCTACCACACAGTTCTACCCTCAGCTTTCAAGGCTCCTCTGAATCTGGCCCTGCCCAGCGCTCAAGTACCTACTGACTCTCTCCTCCTGCCCCCATGTTAATCCTTCTGCCTGTTACACCTCTACACCCACCTCCACCCTTGAAATTCAAATTCTACTCAACTGTTAAAACTCCTGTACTCTCTCCTTTGTTTACCCTTTAAGTATCCACATGATCACAGGCCAGGGAATATCACTTAGTCACTCTCCAAATGTGGGAATAAGAGCTTCTCTAGAGTAAGAACCATGGCTAAGGACCATGTCTTGTAACACTTCCCCATTCCTCTTAATACAATCCTGCAACTACAGTACATGATTGATAAATATATACTTGGTTACTAGTTGGTAAACAGAGATAGTAAGTCCCAAACTGTTTAATTTGCCCAAACTTTAAAAAAATTACCTGCATAATGATTAAAATGACCTCCAAAATCCTAAAGTTACTGGAATGTGGCATCACAGGTATAATGCCACAAGCAGAGGTTTCCACTGGTGTAACTCTTAACCTTAGCAGGCTTTCTAGAAATAAGAACACCCATTTACCGTAAAAGAAAGCAAATGTTAACGAAGACATACCTTCTGAGGTTGTAAGAATCTTCTTGCCTCTGGGGGCTAAGACATGCCCAGCATGACTGATAATCCAAATTGGAAAGCGTCTTTTTGTTGCAGAATACAAAGCCTTTGCAAATGGCACATAAAAGGCAGGAAAACCTGGGTTACCTAGGAAAAGAAACACAGACTTTTAGATTAACCAAAACAATAAACTTACACAGGAAAAAGTACAGACTGAAAAAGAAAGGTATCTCCTTACACTTTCCCATACAAATTTAATAACAATTACCTGTACAACTCAATTTTCATATCCTTTATACCTTAAGCCTGGGAATTATCATTTAGAAAATTTCTCCTACTGCTCTGTTCACCAGTGGCTTCAAATTCATCCTCCATGTTCCTCTACTTAATAAGTGGAACCACCAATCATAAACCAAGTCCTAACAGCATAAGTCTTTCTTGGTTCCTCCCTGCTCTTTACATCCAATTCACCAAGAGGTCCTGTTGACTTTGCTTCCAAAATACACCTCATCTTTGTCCAATTCTGTTAGTTTTACCACTTCCCTCCTAAAGGCTCTTCTATCTGCTCTTGTCCCCCTGGAATCTATGCATCAGGGTACTTGGAGAGATTTCTCCAAACCTCAAATCAAATCAGAGCAGCACTCTACTTAAACACCCTTGAGTGTCTTTGCATTGCCTAAAATCATTAATACTGCCTGTAAGCCCCTTCCACATTTGCTTGTGAGCAGTTACCAAGTTGCATAAAAACCAATCAGTGTCAGAATCATTCACAAAGAGAATGTTAAAGGGTCTACTAAGAGTTTTCTGGTCTTTTATCACAAGTACTTATATTGTAAAGAAACGTGTGATTTGATTTCTGGAGGAAAAGAACACCAACTAATATACATAGATCTTTCTTGTGTATGTACAGAATGTATTTTTGACATGGGTTTGCTGTAAAGAAACAGAATAAGTAATTAAAAAAAAACATTTGATCTAATACATCTTTAGGGGCAAAAGAGTGAAATGGGGTTTTCATCTTACAGTCATCATCTGTATGATGCCTTTGTAAATACTAGACCATTTCCATCAATATGTTTGTCCACTCAATGTATCTATTTCTTTATGCTACTAGGTTTTCTCCTCTTTGTGATTACATGACAGGGTTTTGCTGCACTGATGTAACCTCTGTCACCCTTGTCAAATTTTACTGATTTCTTCATTATCTATATGTCTTAGTTTCCTAGATAAACAGTGTAGCAAAGTGGTTAAAGGTATAGACTCTAGAGTCAGATTACCTGCAATGGCATCCTGGCTTTGCCACTGGCCAACCATGTAACCTTTGGCCAGTTATTTAACCTCTCTGGGCCTTGGTGTCATCGTCCATAAAGTCAGGATAAGAAGCATGCTACCTCATGTGAGAACTAAACGAACTAAAATATGTAAAGTACTTAAACACTGCTCAATACATTCTTCACTGTATAAATGTTAGGTATTAAAATTCACCATCAGTGTCCAGCCATGATGGTAACATATGATGGCCTTATCATGGCCACTGTTGCATTCTGACCTAGTGACTCAAGTTCCAAATTCCTTTTTGTGATGGTGCTAGTGTCATCTTTGTGTTCTTTGGTCAGCTGATTAACTGTCTGCTGTGAAGCAAGAGGAGAAAGAAGGGAAGAGGGGTGTATCCGAACAGAGTTACTGTAACATCAATGGTGGATGTGATGACACTGTCTCATGTTTTATCCTTGTTTTATATCTTCAGTAAGGTTGGAATATTTTTGAGTGTAAAGTACAAAGCAATCCAACTTCTTTCCAAGTGAATAGCAGTGTCCCAAGAGCATTTATTACATAACTCATTCCTTCTACATAGATTTGAAATGTCTTCTGATCCAATACTGAATTCTTACATTCATTCAGTGAGTCAGTGCAGTTGCTCAGTTGTGTCCGACTCTTTGCGACCCCATGGACTGCAGCACGCCAGGCTTCCCTGTACATCACCAACTCCCGAAACTTGCTCAAACTTGCCCATAGAGTCGGTGATGCCATCCAACCATATCATCTTCTGTCATCCCCTTCTCCTGCCTTCAATCTTTCCCAGCATCAGGGTCTTTTCCAATGAGTCAGTTCTTCCCATCAGGTGGCCAAAGTATTGAAGTTTCAGCTTCAGCATCAGTCCTTCCAATGAATATTCAGGACTGATCTCCTTTAGGATGGACTGGTTGGACCTCCTTGCAGTCCCAGGGACTCTCAAGAGTCTTCTCCAACACCACAGTTCAAAAGCATCAACTCTTAGGTGCTCAGCTTTCTGTATGGTCCAATTTACATCCGCACACGACTACTGGAAAAACCATGGCTTTGACTAGAAAGTCCTTGGTCAGCAAAGTGATATTTCTGCATTTTAATATTACATTTGTTAGCTAATTCTAATTTCAAATATTTTTTCATTTTCTTCTTTGCCAGCACCATACTGTCTTGATTACCACATTGGGTTTTTTTATTTTTATTTTTTAATGTTTCAGTAACTGGTAGATCCTTAGAATTATTTTCACCAGCTTAAATTATTAAAACTCTTCTTGGAATTCTGATTGAATTTTATCTCATTTCTATACAAACAGAAATATTTTATATTTTCTACATTACTGAGTATAACCTTCTAGAAGTGTCAAGTATAATATTCAAATATTTTATGTCTTTCAGAGAGCAAAGTTTTGAACTTCCCTGATGGGCCAGTGGTTAAGACTTAACCGTTTAATACAGAGGGTGCAAATTCAATCCCTGGTCAGGGAGCTAAGATCCCACATGCCTTGCAGCCAAAAAAACCAAAATATAAAACAGAAGTAGTATTGTAACAAATTCAATAAAGACTTTCAAAATTGGTCCACATCAAAAAAGTCTTTAAAAAAACAAACAAACAAAGCAAAGCTTTATAGGTTTCTTCACAGGGCAAGACAATAATAATAATCAACCCTTTTTTTTTTCCATTTATTTTTATTAGTTGGAGGCTAACTACTTTACAATACTGTGGTGGCTTTTGCCATACATTGACATGGATCACTCATGGATTTACACGTGTTCCCCATCCTGAACCCCCCTCCCGCCTCCCTCCCCATCCCATCTCTCTGGGTCATCCCAGTGCACCAGCCCTGAGCGCTTGTCTCATGCATCCAACTTGGACTGGCGATCTGTTTCACACTTGATAATATACATGTTTCAATGCTATTCTCTCAGATCATCCCACCCTCGCCTTCTCCCATAAGAGTCCAAAAGTCTGTTCTATACATCTGTGTCTCTTTTTCTGTCTTGCATATAGGGTTATCATTACCATCTTTCTAAATTCCATATATATGCATTAGTATACTGTATTGGTGTTTATCTTTCTGGCTTACTTCACTCTATATAATGGGCTCCAGTTTCATCCATCTCATTAGAACTGATTTAAATGTATTCTTTTTAATGGCTGAGTAATATTCCATTGTGTATATGTACCATAGCTTTCTTATCCATTTGTCTGCTGATGGGCAGATTATAACTTTTTACATGGCAGGCAGTATTTAAGTGTTTTACATACATTAACTCGTTTAGTACTATTATTGTTTCAATGTTATGGCATTAGGCAACTGAGGTTGAGAGGTTAAGTAGCTTGCCCAAGGTGTTACTGGTATTATCTATCACACAGACGATAAATGCTCAGATAAATAAATATATGAAAATTGAAAGGGCATATAGAAAAAAATAATACTACTGAATCTTAAAAGAACATAAAATCACCTAGTCTAGGATCTTCTGCATACCTTGTTTTAGTTAATCTCACAACAGCTCTATAAAGCAGCTGACATTATCATTAAGGGTAGTGAATGGACAGTCATTATTATTTTTATTACTACTACTATTATTACTACATTTAAAATTTTTTAAGTGAAATAGATTAACAGGCAGAATTCTGTAACTTTAGTATGTAGAGGATGTTAAACTGGTTTAACTTTAGGGAAAGTCCAAAGATAACAACTACATGATTTAGACACAATAGTCGCAACGATGGGATAGATAATACCAGAATGAATGAGTACTAATAATGGAACTGCTAGCAAACAATTTTCTCTCCCTATCTCCAGGTTTGTCTGAGTTCCTTCCCTAAAGGACTGTAAGATCCTAATCAAATCCTCTTAATCTTTCTGATTTACTATTTTATCTCCAGCAAGTAAGTTATAATGCCAGCCACTCCATGTCCATTCATTCCATTCAGTACATAGCTTATTTTCTGTATATTCTTTTATAGTTATTTTTTGTAATTTATATTCTAGTAGGCAAATATATTCACATAACTAAGCAGGTAGATAAGACAGCTCATGAGTATGATAACTTCTATGAAGGAAATAAATGGGATCATATGACAGAGGAGATTAGGATGGCCTGAGAAAAATGTCCAAGGAGGTGGCATTTAGCTAAAACTCAAAACATGAGAAGAAATCCACCATGTAAAGATTTGAGGAAAAGAATACTAGGATGTAGGAATAGGTGCAAAGGCCCTTAAGCAATAAAGAACTTGGCTCCTAAAGAGAACACAATGGCCAGTAAGACAAAGATCCAACTTAGAGACAGCGGTAGAAAATATAATGCAAAATGTTTAAATGTCATTGCATACTTCACCACTTAAATGTTATGGCTTATGTTACACTTTATGAACCATGAACTAAACTTCCTGGTTAGGAAACCACAGAGAAAATTAAAAGGGTCTTGTTTATACAACTAAAATCAGATATATATGTGTGTGTGTATAAAAATATGTATATATATCTCCATGTCCAGGTGTAAGAATGCTCAAAAACATTCCAGTACAGAAATGCAAGTTGTACATTTTATCAAAGGATATCAAAATGTGTTATAAACACCAGCTTGAACATACACATAGTAAAATGCCTGAGCAACATATAACAGAGGCTGTAGTGATTATCTCTAGACTCCAATTGCCAATGAACCCTTAGCTACTTAACACTGCAATTGTAGACTTTGCCTTCTTTTAATAGTTAACCTCGCAGGGGACAAAACCCACCATATATCAGGTTAAAGTGGCATAGCATCTAGAGAACATTGTCACATGGACAGAACTTTGGGCTTTGAGTTTTCCACAGAGTCTTATCTTCTCCAACTCCAACCTGTGTACT